AGATATGGCCTCACTAATATAAAAAAAGTAGATTTTCACCTTGATCTTAATGAAAAAAAAAAACAAAACCAAAAACCCAGACTTTAAATATTTGGGGATAGTTTTATTTGACTTAGCATAAAGCATTATTTCTGGTATATCACAATAAAAGTAAATAGAAGATATTAGCTAATGTGCTTGGCACAGGATAATTCAGTGATTAAAGCACTACTAGTATCTTCATTTTCTAATTGGAAGAACTGAGGTTTGGAGACATTAATTAACCAACTCAAGGTCACAGAGTTGACCGGTGGAGCCAGGACTTGTTTCTGAGTTGTTTGTTAATAGCATGGGTTTGTGGTTAAGGAAAAAAAAAAAAGGAGAAAAGATAGCTTGAAAATATTCATTTAGATATTTGAGAAGAAAAACTTCAGTATACATCAATATGAAAAGTTTAATAAGTATCTAATATTAAATGAGGCTTATAATAAAAGTATTTTATTCACTTAATATTAAAATATATTTATATTATGTCAATATTATAATTGTTCACATATGCTCTCTAATTCAGTTTTATTATATAAAAACATAATACATTATTAGCTTTGATAAATGATCTAAGTATGTTAAATGCAAAGTTCTAAAATAAGATGTTTTTCCACAATTAGATGAATTTTAGTGCAGAGATTTCCTAGAGTTTGTTTTCCTCAATATTAGGTCAATGTGTTCCTCACATCCTCCAACCTACTACTTTCTCTTTCAGCAGAAAAAGCTGTCCTTTTGTTTGCAGATAAAACAAGAAGAATGTAGTTAGTTAGAAGCTAAGATTTGTGCTGAAGTCTGATTTCACTAGACATCTTGCCCAAAAGAAAACTGCTCCATAGAAACTGATAATACATAGATTCCACATAACTCAGGAAAAGGCACAGCTTTGCCCATGGGGGACTTTGTGATCAAAGACAATGTTGACACAGAAATATCTCCAGGCCAGCTTTAAGAGAGGAACACTCAGAATGGCGCAATGACAGAAACTGCTTCTAGCAGCTTTTTCCCTTCAATATTTATGGCCTTTCTTTTCCCAGCAGAACACAGACACACCTGCCACCCTCCTATCCAACAGGGCCAATGTGCACAGTTTGTGTGCTAGTGCTGGGCTAGGGGGTGTTAATAATGATAGAAGAACGATGTTGCACTTCTGGAATGGAATGTTTTGGGTGAACCATCTGCCTGGAAATTACTGTGAGGACAATTTCTGTGAGAATCAGGACCTTGTTTATTGGTTTCCAAGCCACACCCCACTAATCAGTATATATCCAAGAATCTGGGTCCCAAAATGACAGAACTAAACAAAGTCACATTTTTTAAATTGAGGTAATATTGGGTTTAAACATTGTTTATAATACAGAGGAACAGGATCACACCTCTTCCAATGTATGTTATCACCCACACCCACCACCAAGGCACCCCAAAGTCTTCTACCATACTTCCCCTCCTCACCCTGCTCTCCACCCTCCCTCTCTGGTAACCTCAATTCTATAGTCAGACTTTGAGGGTTTGTTGTTGGTTTGGCTTTTCTGACCCTTTTTTTGATTCTCTATACTCCATATAAGTAAAACCATCCAGTATTTCACCTTATAGTCAGCCATTATGTATGTTAAATCACAGTAAGTTTTCAGGACACAAAACAACTCTATGAATAAAGATGGAAGTAAATTTTATAGCATTGTCTTCAAAGAATAATGTGTTTGTAGTTAAAAATCTAATAATGCCAAAATATAGGATTTAATGCCACAGTTTCAAAAGACAGGTATAAATATGCTGCATTTTTAGCAATACGTTATATTATTTTAACTAAGCACAAGTAAAAACAATTATTCCGCTTGTGCATAAACACTGCAATAAATGAGGAATTTTTGGAAAGTGAAATCTTAGAAATGATTAAAGAATCTTGTGTTGTTCTACTTAGTAAAATACATGATTCTCTGTTGGCACATCTATTAATACAGAAGCTGTGGGTTAGACTTCTGACATTCCCGTTCAACGCTGCGCTGTGAGTTCCAGGTGGGCTGGGCCTGTGCGTAGTCCTCATCCCCAGTGGTCAACTAATATCCAGTTGGCAGTGGCTGCCCCCCTTAAATCCTCACTGCCTCCTAGAAGAGGACCTCTGAATAGCACCAATAATGTTACATTAAGGGGTTTAGGGTGTTCCCCTGGGTATCAAACTGACATTGAGCACATTGCCATAAAAACAAATCTTTTGTGTTCAAAATAGTGAACCTTTAGAGGCCCTCTATTTTATAGTGCTGGCTCACCAACACATACAAGGAAAATGAATGTGGTGGGTTTAGAAATATGAGACATCAAAAATTAGATGTTTTCATACAATGATGAGTGCATCAATAGAGAACAGGGGTTCATTTGCTGTGCCCCCATGAGTGCCACATGCTAATTAGGAAAGCCAAAAGTCAGGGAATGCCACAGCTTCTCTCTGATGAGGAAGGTCCTACAGATTCCCTGCCAGGTGACCTCTGGACTGTGCACTCTGAAGCATGACCTTAGAACAGGAAGGGGTGTTTGGAAAACTCTTTCTATAACAACAACAACAACAAAAACCACTTAGTGATTTTTTAAATTCTTGTGGCAGAAAGATTAAGTTATTTGTGACATCATATACCAATATTTAAACACATCAAATAAATTATATAAGAGATTCTGGCTCTGGGCTTATTTCTGAGTGAGATCAGAGAGGAGGTTCAAGGATTGCACATCATAAAGGAGGACTGGCCTGCAGCTAGCAGAGCCCCCAGATATTTCTCCTGCCCATCCTCAGGTGGGGCTCAGGCTGAAATACACAAGGCACAAGCGGAACAAGTTGATGAAATGTTGTCAGGTCACGTCTTCTATCACATCTGTGTCCCCACCGCACAGCACAGCCCATCCAGTGGGAACTTCATTGACTTAAGTCCCATTGACTTGCCCTTTTTCTTTCTTTGGTGATTAGCACCACTTAGCAGTACTGAACTAACATCTTTCTGTGATAGTGGAGAACTCCTCTACCTGCACTGCCTAAAACAATAACCACCAGGAGCAGCTGGCCACTGAGAACTCAACAGAGGAACAGGAATTCTCCCCTTATTTAATTCTAGTTAATTGAAATGCAAATGGCCATAGGTGTTCAATAGCTGCTATGACAGGGTGGTGGTCAAAAATAATAAAGGCAAATTAGTTTGCTCACTCATCTTTAGAATGGTTTGTTATAATTATTCCCATTTCTCAGATGAGTCTATTTGAAGCTTAAAAGATTAAGAGGCTTGCCCACAGTCAGAATGTTAGTAAAAGGCTGAGAAGAATTCACATTCTTGTCAAACCCAAACCAACACTCTGGCAATGACATCAAATTGCATGCCCTTTGCTCACATGAGAGAAACCTTAAAAACAATCAGCAGCTTCTGAAATTCCAAATTTTCAGTGAATAGCTATAAAAGGGAGCTGGCCATATGGGGCATGATTTCTTTCAACAAAAACATATGGGAAGATATTTGTCTCTGGCAATGAATATCTAAGTTGAATCTTTCAAAGGACATGCTAATAATAAGCATATCTGACAGGCCTCCACTGTGCTCAGAAACTTTGCTCTAATCAAATATTAGCCAGATGAATTTCTGAAAAGGCAATAATATGAAAAATACTTTATTAAACTTCTATCACATCCTATTACACTGTCTAAGCATTATTCTATCCTGTTTACCCTCTGCTGACAAACTAGATTATGCTTTCTTTCCTAAATCAATAGGGTCTTATGAAACTACACAAAAGATAAAGACTTACAAGTTTCAAAAGATAATTTGCAAACAAAGAGTGTCAAAAGCATGACATGGAAGGGGGGGGAGGCCTATGTCTAAGAAAATAGGCAGAGTCACATTGCAAATTTTGCTTTGAATTCCATGTAAAATATTTCATTTATTACAATAACAAAAACCCATTCCAGGATCTGCAAGCTTCAATTCAGATACATGTGTTCATAACCAAAACTGCAATCAAACCAGTGTCTCCCCATCTCTCTTGCTGCACTGATACCTACTGTGCAGCCCATGTTAAGGTCTATGTTGTAAATTCATTGAAACTGAGGTGCAGAACATTACCGTTATTTTGTAGACAAAACTAGTATCTCCTGGTTGTATTATAGCTCTCATATTGACAGGGGGTGGTATAAGGTATTCTAACATACCCTACTCAGATAAAATAAAAAAAATATGAGACAACAAGGTGAAACATAGATAAAGAAATGGGGTAAGACCACAAGCTTTAAGAACAAAAGTCAGACTGCAAAAAATATAAACCAAGTGCAACAATAAGAACCAAGTGCAATATAAGAAGTGCAACAATCTTCTTATATGAAATCCATTTTTGAATTAGAGCTATTGGGCTTAAGAGGAGACCTTTATGAATCATAGAGTCAGGACCTTCTCATCAAATCCCAAGCCTATCATTTATCTTGCAACACACAGCATGATCATGTGGTCACAAATTTAGTTCCTCAGCCTGGCATCATGACAGCCCTGTGCATGCAAGTGGGTGGAGGGACAAAGATGGTCAAGGTAGGAGTCTATGTGTTACCTTTCCCTTTAAACTGGTCAACCAACCTTGACTTTTCTGACTCATAAAATTCAGCATAGGTGCTTCTGGAGAGGAGTCAGCTTTAAGGAATTGGCAGTTTTTATTTCTTGTCTTTGGGAACACACGCCTGTGAAACAGAAGAACCACCAACCAAACCCATCTTGATCCAAAAAATTATGACAGAAAATAAAATAGTTCTTGCTTTACATCTTGAAATTTTGGGATAGTTTGTTATGGATATAGAGATCATTGGAACCGTCTTTCTCTTTACCTCAGTTAACCTATTTCCCCTCTAACACCACCATTTAATTGCTTGTATTATATATCATAATCACATATTTATTAAATATCAGGCCTAACCCTGTCTGCCCGCCCAATCATTCCCATTTTTTATATACACCTACCAATGAAGCCAGAAGATGGGGGGTTGGGCTGAATCTTCTCCTTAGTATTCTCCTGGATAATATCCCAAAGCTGCCATATAAATTTAGGATGAAGAATGTAAAATGGCTGCTTTGGGTTTCTCTGACGATGCTGAACATATGGAGTGAACAGGTTGTAATCTGGCTTCTTGTACCACTAAGAGAAGAAAAAAAAAAGCATAATCAAGTACAGAGGCCACACTATGAAAAGAAAATGGAAACATCCAGGTGCATGCGTGCGTGCGTGCGTGCGTGTGTGTGTGTGTGTGTGTGTGTGTGGGGGGGATTTAGAGTCTGGGGGGACAACAGCTGGGTATGTGAGGGGCGGAGTGATGACTCATCACTTTCAGGTATTTCCTCACTGGATGAAGGACTGAGTAACAAAGAGACCAGGTTCTATTCCTAACAGTAACTGATGTTTTATTCTTTAGTAAAATGAGGGAGATAGGCTAAGTAGGGTCAACCAAAACATTTCTATAAAGAACCAGATAATAAACACTTTATGTTCTACAGGCCGTGGTGTTGCCGCTGCAATCATTCAGCTCCACCATAGTGCTGTGAAAGCAGCCACAGACACACTGATATAAGTAGGCATGGCTGTGTTCCAATAAAACTTTATTTATAAGAACGAGGGCCAGATTTGGTTCATGGCTATAGTTTGCTGATCCCTCAACTCAACCAACATTTCAAAAACATGATCTGCAAATTTAATCTAAAGTGACAGAAAGCATGTAAGTTTTTGCCTGGAAGGGGAAACTTTGGAGTTATTGAAACATTTTATTTCATTTTGTGGTTGTGGATAAATTTGCTAACAGTCATCAAAATGTACACTTACTATTTTATATAAATTAATGTATTAAAAAATGAACAATAAGGTTCATTTTTAAAAGATGTGTATAGAAATGTATTGGGTGCCACCAAGAAATGGGATTTGGAGGTGTGTGGGGGAGAGGTTTAGCTCTAAGGCTAAAGCACCTCATCTTCCTTCAAACAGACACCCTGGGTAAATAATGGGAATATATTAAGATGTCAAGAAATATTCCATGGTTGGATGGGCTCTGGGCCTTTAAAAATTTTGACAAGCACTGGGACCAAATCATCATTAGTAAGCCTTGTTATCAAGTCGTAAGGCAGTAGCAATGCAGCAGGAAGAACATGGTGCTGGTTCCTTAACCCTCCCTCTACCTGGTCCTCACATGGAAGTTTCAGAGCACAGGCCCCACAGAAAGCAACACTGTCACTTGGCTTTCAGGCCTGTCACTGCTCACAGTCATCAGGCAGACAACTCTGTGCCTTAGGCTTGAATGTTTTCAACACAGAAATTAATAAGGTCTAACGGTTAGAAGCTCTCAGTCTGTCCACAAACAGCAAGAATGTTGTTGAGCTTAAAACGAAAGAACCTCAGGCTGAGAAGGAAGTTGAGAAGTTCAAACACCCATTTGATGCTTGACTCACAATAGATGATACATGTGAGAATCAATGGGAGAGTTTTCTCAAAAACACACATCAAGGCTGTGTGCTACATTTCTGGAAACAGGATTTAGACACATATTTTGAAAATTACTCTCTAGGTGATTCTGATTGGAACTCCTGGTTAAGAACCAGTTAACAATCATCCTAGGTCAATGTCCAGCCTCAGTCTCTAGAGAACAGTGACAGAACAGCTTTCACAGAACCAATTGATTCTCCAGGGAGACCCATTCGACCTTGGAAAGCTCTTTGGAAAGGTATCTCTTGGTGAAGCCAAGATCTGTTCCCTGCATTCATCTTAGAAAGGTTATATCCTCTCTGGTCATGGCAGAAAAAGTAGAAAGGCACTCACTGATACAGCCAATAGCAATTTCCAGGAGGTTAAATAACATCCATTTTTCCCAGTTGTCATTGAAAAGCAAGCACACTGGCTTCTCATGTAGACTTTCACCAAAAGTAGCTAGCTACTTGTTTAGATGGGCAATGATTTGCCAGAATGTCATGAATATAACTTTCTTGTATTTTCATGACTAGTGATTATCGTGTTTATGCTCTATTCACGTAAGATTAAAAAAGTTTAGAGGTAGAAGTCAGAGGGTCACACACAAGGAAAGCCTGTAAGGGATTGCAGTTAAATAATGATGAGCTGTTGATTCACTACCTTTAGGTTTTCCTGCCAGGCACTTCCAATTCATTTCATAAGATCTCGTAACTACTTGGAAGGTGATAAAACCCTAGCACAATGGAAAACCTGTGAGTTTAATCAGTAACCTCCAGTGTAAGTAGGAATTTCTGAACATTTAGACATTACACACTTATTTTTGTTTTGGTTTCTAAAATCCCTCCAGAACAAAACCCTTTGGCATTAGATGGACAAAACTCACCAAGTATACTATGAGAATTAGGTATCAAAATGTGTGTGAACACACATCTACCTAATTAGCACCATGATCAGTTTCATCCTGTCAAAGCGTAATTCTTCACGTGCTCCTATTATTCATCAGTCAAAGGGTGGCACAAAAGGAAACACTTACCAGGTTAAGATTTGCAGAATAAGGAGCAGGGTCCCAGGCGACCAAAATGACATCTTTATACAATGAACTATCAATGAAGTGATGGTTGGGGTTGGTCAGAATCTGCAAATACACAGAAAAGGTATTTTAAAGCAAGTGCTTGGCTCTTTAAAGTATACTTTTAAAAGAGGTGAGATTTTCAAAAAGGAATCAGAGCAAGAAAAAAATGTTCCCTACACTTAATATTTTCTTCTTGGGGAAAGAGGCTGTCAGTGAACACTAAAGCACTTAAGGAAATATTTGGAGAAATGAGGATTGGAAAAAAAAATCCACCAGTTTTTACATTTCGATAAGCACAGTACTCTTATCTGGTGGCATCAAATCAGCTCCTGAAAGGTGCAAGTCCCTAGCTAATTCAGCACCCCAGTCTTTTCCACAATTGCCTTGACAGGTAATCTGGAAAGAGTTGCAGGCTTGGATGAATCCAGTTATTAAGGCCTCACCAGGGCCAACCTCAGGACAAATGGAACAGAGAAAGAGACTGCGGATTTGAGCAGCCCTGCTGTGACTGTCCACACTCTGAGGTCCTGTCTGGTACTGGAAGGGCTCTTCTGTCTTATCTGCCAACTGTGTTTTTAAACAACACTTTTGGGAATATAAATGACATACTGATTTTCTGTTTTGAAGTGCATTTTTTCAGTTTTTAAGATGCAATATATATATATACATATATATATATTATTTATTTTTTTTTTGTGGACCCTCGCTGGCGGCCGGGGAATGAAACGGCACTGCAGAGGCTGTGGGCAGCCTCGCGTCCCAGCGCTCAACCGCTGTGCCACCAGGGGAGGCCGCACTCTATTTTTTAAAGATATATTTTTATTTATTTATGCATAAAGAACTGGGGTGTAGGCCAGAGGTGTAGGGAGTGAGAGGACTCACCAGTGACAGTGTGGGGAGCAGTAGAGGCAGACCCACTGAAACATGCTGCTGAGGGGAGCAGCAGGGAAGACAGGAGAGGTCTGCTGTGCCATGGAGGTTAGCTCCCTGGCCAGGGATCAAACTCAGGCCATGATGGCTGGCAATAGGTTGGTAGTGCTGAGACTTATATCCTGTGCCACCAGAGGCCCCAAGATACAGTATTTTTATTTATGCTTTAATATTTCTGAAGTTAGAATGTATTATGCAGGTGATATGTATTTTAATTTGGTGGGCTTTATCTCCTTTCTCTGAAAAGCTGTTTTTAAATGAATGGGGAATTTTACAATCCATGGCATCTATGAATTAAGGAAGTATGACAACCGTTTCTTTCCTTGCTACAGGCGACCTGGCTCAAGGCACTAAGCAGAAAGTTAATCTTCTGTTCTGCAAGCAACTCACCGTAAGTCACCCATTGTCTCATTTATTTTCCTATATAGTTTAAAGCTCTAGAAATTGTGGTTTGTTTCAGGAATAATTTTGCTATAAATTTAGAAAACATTTTTATCAAAAACTCAAAGAGATATTTTCATTTTAGATTAAACAATCAATTTTCCTTTTTTAAATTTTCAGGGGCCTCCCTGGTGGCACAAGGGGTTAGGACACAACCTATGAAGCTGTCCGCAGCCTCTGCAGCATAAGTTCGATCCCCTGGCCAGTCAGGGAGCAACCCAGATGGTGCGGCAGACCTCTCCTGACTTGCCTGGTGCTCCCCTCAGCGGTGTACTTCGGTCAATCTGCCTGTTCTGTTCCCCACTCTGTCTCTGGTGAGTCCTCTTGCCCGCCACACCTCTGGCCTGTGCCCCAGCTCTTGTATGCATAAAATGAAGTAAATCTTTCAAAAAAAATTTTTTTCAAATAGCACTAAAATTTCCAAGTTACCCTGACCCTGGTATTTTGTACCTTTCCTTTCCCCCCCGCTCCTTCATCCTCTTTCTTGTTGTCATGATTTCTTCTAAATTTAACTGATTTTCTCAGTTCACAAAATGCAACACTCAAAGTCTATGCTTACAGACACAACTACACACACACAACTTCTCTATTTATCCTGTTTTTTCCTTTTGATCCTGCTCATTTTTTCCTATTCATGTCACACATGAGTTTCCATTTCCTGCATTTTTCCTCAGTGGTTTTTTAAAAATTTATTTATTTATCCATACAACAGCTGGGGTGAAGGCCAGAGATGCGGGGATGGGAGGTGAGAGGATTCACCAAGACAAAGCAGGGAGAAGAACAGGCAGATCCACTGAAATGCACTGCTGAGGGGAGCAGGAGGCGAGACTGGAGAGGTCTGCTGTGCCATGTGGGTCACTTCCCTGGCTGGGGATCAAACTCTTGCTGCAGTGGCTGTGGAAACCTTCATAGTGCTGGTGCTTAACCCCTTGCACCACCAGGGAGGCCCTCTCTGGTTCCTTTTAATTACAAGATCCATAGAAATAAGTAAGATCATGATCATCGATAATTGGGTAGTATCTCTTCCCTTATACAGTTAAACTATTTTTACCAATAAAGTGTACATTCCTGAAAACACTCCATCTGCCTCACCTGGGAATTGACGATGCGCACTGTGGTCTTATTTCCAACATCTCTCTCATAGCCACGCGTAGGAGCAGAGTTAAATCTCAAAACTGCGTCATGAGAATCTAAGGGCACATAAGTGACATACTTACTGTTTTTCTCTGTATAAGCAACATAATCCAGGAAACAACATTTAAGCAAATCTTTCAATACCTAAAGCTAAATAGACACCAGCAAAAATTTTCAGTATACTGTATATTTAGAATGAGATCCCGGATGAGGGTAATCAACGTGGAAACATAAATCCACTCAATGGCAAGAGGCCCTATGTAATCTAAGCTACATTCAGGTACTCATTAGGTATTCACATTCTTTAAGAGAGGCATACTTTATGCAGCTATTCTAAAGATTCTAAGACATTTTAAAGGTGGAATCTATGGGGACAGCTAAGGAGGCTATAAGTGGGGGCACTGATCTATGGCTTCTTATTGCTCATAGAACATGGAGACTGCTCCTGGAGCATCTAATGCTGCTGCCTGCACCAAGACCTAGTCTCTCATATAGTAAGAGCTACAGCATTCAATGCACTGACCGCTTCAGGGTTATGGTTTGTGCTTTCATTTTAGAAAACCATTCCTGATCACTGCAAATTTTTACATACTGCTGGTGATGCAGTGAATTATGAGAGCAGTCTTAGATCATTCTGCATTTCCAGCAATAGTCTGAATTACGCCCTTGCCTTGGAGCATGGGAGAGGCCACCAATAGTGCCAGCTACCAAGGTTCTACATTCTGTGACAGGACACCGTGGTTCACTGAGCCTCAACATAAATCTACGTATGTCTTCATTTGACTTGAGAGTCAGACTTTTCCAAGTTCTCTGAGTATCCAGGTATAAACAGGTCTCCCATCTCATGGGGGCTGACTGGAAATGAAGGGAGAGAGGTAGAGTAAATGGGCTCACCTGATTAAGGGATGGGAGCGGGGACTTGTTTCCTGTCCACAAAGCACACATCTCTCTTGAGATTTCCTGAGTTCGCTAGCTAGTGTGCTTCCCAGAGACTAGTCCTAAGCCAAAGTTAACCAGCAATAAAGAAATTTCTAAGGACTAATTTTTGCTTCAAAAGTTCCAAGCACATTTCAATTTGAATTGAGAGCAATTAACAAAACCTCAGTGTGTCAGAGAGTGAGTGTGTATGTTTCTGATTTGCCAAAGAGCCGTAAGGCTATGCGCTGCATTTACCATGACATACCCCACCCAAGGATAGAAAACAGCTCTCCTTCCTCGCTGAAGTCCTAACACTCCATTGTGAGCAGTCTCCTGGGAGAATGCTTCCTCCTCCTTAAGTAACAGAAACTCAGCATGTGTGCCACCCTTAAAGCCACATCACAAAAGGTGCCTTTCTTGACAAGCCCTGAAGTCACAGGAATTCAGATCCTAATTTAGAGCACCAAAATGAATACACTTTGGGAACACAAAGAATGCACAACGTAACTGGTTATGTTATCATAGTACTCTAGAATGTTATTTTAGGGGAAATTTTGCAGAAGTTGACAAGCTAAGTCTTGCCACGTGCTTTCGCAAATCAACAGGCTCATCTGTTTATTTATTGCCTGTCATGGCAGCCTTGAGTTGAGGCCAAGACCCCATGGTTCCCAAAGCCTGAAATACTTACTACCTGACTCTTAGAAAAATATATATATTCTGCCAAACTGTGGATTCTAGGTAATCTATGCTTTGTATAAATGATATCAATATACCTGAACTCATGTAATTTGTTTTACTTATGCATACAAGAACTGGGGTACAGGCCAGAGGTTTGGGGAATGAGAGGATTCACCAGAGACAGAGCGGAGAGCAGAACAGGCAGATCTACTGAAATACACTGCTGAGAGGAGCAGTGGGCGAGACAGGAGAGAGCTGCTGTGCCATGTGAGTTTGCTCTGGGGATCGAACTCTTGCTGCAGTGGCTGGCGATAGCTTGATAGGGCTAAGACTTAACCCCTGTGTGACCAGGGAGGCCCTGTAATTTTCTTTACTTTATAAATTTAAGCACTTTTTAAGGAAATGCATTGTTTTATTATTCATTGAATAGTGTTGTCAAAAATGATTCAGTGATTCATTTACCATTCAAATTATATTTGAACTAGAAAAAATTTATAACCCAAAATAGAGTTTGTCATTCTGGTCTCAGGACCCCTTTGCACTCTTTTTTTTTTTTTTTTTAAAGATTTATTTATTTATTTATACAAGCATTGGGTACAGTCAGAAGCGCGGGAGGGTGAGATAATTGCGCGGGAGGGTGAGATAATTCACCAGAGCCAGAGCGGGGAACAGAACAGGCAGACCGACGAAATACACAGCTGAGGGAAGCAGCGGGCGTGGCAGGAGAGGTCTGTTGGCACCATGTGGGACCCTCGCCGGTGGCCAGGGATCAAACTGGCACTGCAGAGGCTGCAGGCAGCTTCGCAGCCCAGCGCTCAACCACTGCGCCACCAGGGGAGGCCTCCCCTTTGCACTCTTGAAAATTACTGACAACCCAAAGGCTTTTGGTTTACTTGGACTCTATAATATCAAAAATTAAAACAAAAATTTTACATGTTAATTTGAAAATAATATTCTATATGAAAAATAATCATTTTTTGGAAAAAAATTGAGTTGACTGGCACTGTTTAAACGTTACAAAGCTCTTTAACTTCTGGCTTTTTAGAAAATAATTGGTTTCTCATTTCTGCTTCTGCGTTCAATCTGTTATTTTGTTTTAGTTGAAATAGATGAAGAATCAGATGTAGCACCTAAAATGGAAGAAGTATTTTAAGTCTTTCCAGATTACTGGGAATATTCTTCTTTGATACTTCATCAAAACTTGACAAGTGCTAGTTTCTTAAAGGTTAGTTGCAATATGGACATTAAAAAAATCAATATCGGAGATCTTTTCATTCCCTGTTGATTAAAATCCATTTTTTTCTGCCCTCAAAATGGATGATTTACCCATGTATAATTTTGTAACAATGTGCAAAGATCATTTGGAAAATATCAGTTCAGTAAATGCCACAGATCTTCCAATACTGATGCATTAATTATAAAACATCATATAGCACAATGGATCTCATCAGTTTTCAAGTATGGAAAGCTTCCAAGCTCATATTTGAAAGCTTCAATCCTATCCTTGGCAACAAAAATTGTCAGTTATTTTCCTGTAAGTGACAGGCTCACTTAATTCCTTTTTTGAGGAAATATCTGCCAAAGATCCAAGTCTTAATAAAGTATGTCTGTCAGTCATTTATTTCAAGTAAAAATTGCATCTGATGGCAAAAGCACGTAGTTCTGCTCAGAAATAACAACAAAGTACTTTTCCATGATGCCACGATATACACACAGAAGGGTTTTTCACTTTACTTCCCACTTTGGCTTCAAAACATGTGTGTTCAAGATTTAAGAAAAAGATTTAAGGAAAACAACCCTTTTTGTCTGCCTCACCAAGGACACCCATAGTGAATCTGGCACTTTCTTCTTTTACTACTGTGCCCAACAGGGAAAAATTCAGAAGACTGTGCTGCTGTGTCCCACTGCCTGGACCTCCGCTGAGAAGCAATGGAAATCACCATCGCTGTGGCATCACCAGGGCAAATTTCAGTAGATAAAAAAGCCTATGAGTTGTAAAAAGTTTCACCTCATGAATCTCCAAAAGGAGCCTGGAGACCCTGCCCCCACACTGAGTGTGAGCAAACCACCCATGTGTACAACTGACCTGGGCAACCATCTGACAGGCAGACTGGAAGAGGCTTCAGTGGAGATGACCCCAAGGAACTCAGAGGTCATCAGGACACCAGGACAAGTTGATGGCAGCACCCCTACATCACTGTTCTCCCACAAATCATGCTGCCTTAGACATGGCCGCTGTGCAAAAGTAAGGTGAATCAGCCAAGGAGCCCAAGCAGTAGGTGCATTTCCAATTAATTAAACAGGAATTCCAACTTAGTTGCATCACCCCTTAAGATGTTCCACAGGTCAATCCCAATGTCCCACACTGAGGTGTGTTTGAAGTCTCTGAATAATTTCACAAGGCACAGGGCACAGAAATGTCATGTAGCCGAACTCCTTGGAAGTAGTAGGAGTCTGTAGCCTAAAGGAGAGAATTTTAGGGAGGGAGAAAAGCTACCCTGCTTGGATGGAGACAACCTTGGCAGTGAGGAGAAGGGGATGGGGATCAGGGGTGGGGGGTGTGCACGAGGAGGATGAGCTGAGAATGTGTCTAACATGCAGATATGTATTATAAATACATGCCTGGCTCTGCATCTCCTTGGTAATGGGCATTAAAAACTAAGCTGTCCATTCACATTTAGTAAAGAAGGCACAGATTAGACAACAAGCCCTAGGGGAATAAAGTAAAGCGTCATTTCTAGAGGAGGCAGTTCCAGGCTATAGCCATTTCATGTTGACCTTGAGGACAGAGCTAACGCAGCATTCACTTAAGGAAGATTAAAACCTTTCAAGGAGCAGCAGCCAGGACGTGTCGAGGCATGAAATCACTGGCCTATGTCGGGAATAGTGCCCCAAATCATTCTCCTTTCCTGCGCTCATTCTCCAATCCAAATCTGGCACTTCAAGGGCCTCCAGACTTTGTGGACTGGCTCCTCAATGGCAGGTTCATCTCTCTGCGTCCTGCTAACCTGATCTCTATCTCCTCTCACCAGGACAGGGACCCCTGCACTTGGATTGATTCCGTTGTGTCCTCAAATCTAGGCTCTCAAGTGATCAAAATGGAAATCTGACCCTCTGCTTCAAAGATCTCAACGTTACTGCAGCACAGGCCCAGGAGTCAGAGCTGGAGTTTTTGGAGATCCAGACTGGAATTTGATCCAGGCCTACCTACTATGTCTTTCCTTACCTCCATTTCCTTATCTATAAAACAGGAACAATAACCCTGTCTCTCACTTAGGGTTGTAAGAGGTAACAACAGTTAACACAGAAAAGCATTTAGTTCAGGACCTTGTCTGCAATAAGCAACCTATAAGCAGTAACTATTATTACAATTATGGAGTGAAGTCTAATTTCCGTAAGTGATACAAGAACATGTGAGTGCCCTCCTACCCGGCCCCCAACCTTTCCCCTCTCCCCACCCACCCATTAGCATTCATCAGCTGCACCCCTCACTGTTTCTCACCCACCTATTGTACTGGCCTTTGTCTGGGTTCCTCTTTTCTGAGCACTCTTTGCTAACCTCCTCTTCTGTGAGGCCATCAGCCCTCACAATGGGTAGGATTCTGTCATCATTTCTTCCCTGTGCTCCTCCTAACCACAGTATTGGAAATGTCTCTTTATAGTCTGTCTGCAGAGGATTTGAGGTTTAGGTCTATACCTTATTGATCATTGTGTCACTAGTGGCTTACACCAAATCTGGCAGAGAGCTGGGGAGCAATAGATAATCGATGTTCTGCCTTTTCAATTTTTTTTTTCCTAAAGGTAAAAACAAGGCCAATACCAAGCTCTCAACACCAAGTGCTATATGCCTATTTCTGGACACACTCCCTTCCCAGCCTCCCTATTCAACACACTCCCCAGAACCTGAGTCTGTGCACACAGATCCTGATGTTCTATGTCAAGGCTGTTCTACTGTTTGTTCAGAGTAGACAACTCTCCTCCACTGAGTTTCCACAGGGCTGCTGGTAGGTGAGCGCACTACGCCAAATTATTTTTGTTTTTATATGTGGGTGAAAAAAAAAAGATCATTTCAGGACTCTAAGAAAGAATGTTCCATGTTTCCAAAACAGTTCAGTTTTCTTTTCAATAACATTCAAAGTGCAGGTGTTTACAACTGCTACACTGTTCCTAAAAACAAATACATGGTATATGATTCAGTGTAACAGAATGGGAGGAAACAAGACCTGCCTTGCCCATGGAGCAAACAGCAGAGGGAGCTAGCTGGCAGGCAAAAGCAAATCTGAGCTACCACAGGGACTGATGAGTATGGAGAATTCAGGGACAGTTCAGATGTGGAGGAGGCTTCCTGGCAGGGCTGACATGGGGCAAGCCTTTGGTGCTTTTCTAGGTCTGTCCTCAGTTTTCCATAAGAACATGAGCTTTTGTAAGTCTTTTGATCTTCACTTAAATGATTTAAGAATACGTATTTAGGGGACAAGATGAATTTAGCTAAGTAGTAGAGCCTGCTCCATCATTCATTTGCTTTTATACAAATATTTTGTTTTATTTAAAAATTCCTTAATAATCAGGTGTTATTAAATATGATCAGGTGATTAGGAAGGGAGAAATGTCAGCATCTGGCATGCTATAAAAATGCAAGACTGTTTTTACTAACATTATACTACAGTTATATATTCTTAAAATGGCAGTGCAAAATCAGAGTCAAAGAAACCAGGGCAAAATAAGAGGATTTTTTAAAAAACAATTTGAGTGTGTTTTTCAGATCTGATTCTATAGATCCAATCATAAAGCTTCATGGAGGTGCATAAAACATAAATTTGAATACTAGAAATGACAAATATAAAAATGTCCATGTTCTCTAGAAACATGTAATTCCAAGTGTCTTTCACAGTCTCTTCCAAATTCTGAATAGAGTTTATAAGGCTCTGGCCAGAGATATTTATGCTGCAATAAAGAGCAAGGGAATTCTCCCTGACATGCAAGAGAGATCCAAATATGCAAGTATGATGCAAAGGTGTTTAAAACAAAGCAAAACAAAACAGGAGCAAGTTACTTATTGCTTTAAAGCATAATACCTAAATTCCATCTTACATTATTAATAATGGTCCTCAGAAACGAAAAAGAACTGTGGTGTTACTTCACTCCAGGGACCTGTAAACCACTGCTCTTTTCTACTAATAAATTGCGGGCTGCTCTGCTTTGGCTTTGGCTACAAGTTTATGTGACACACAGACAGTGTTATTATGGGCCTGCTATAATGTCAGCACAGGGACAGAAGAACCCCAGAACTGTGATTTGCTTTCTAATTTTTTACACATTTCACATTCAGCCTCAACTGCATGAACATATGAGATGAGGTCTGGGCTGCGGAGCTTGATTACAAAGGCATCTCCTTATTTCAAGATAGTTTTGGAACATCAGCCACTCTTCAAGGACACTGAACAACAAATAGAACCAAGAGCAGAGGTTACTCCTTTCTATCAACTGGGTAATGCCCCGTGAATGTCACTTCTAGATTAGTTATGAACTAACACCATCCGCTGTGAGGCTGTTAGACACCATTTGTCTTCTATCTGCACTTGAAACCAAGACTGTTTCTTGGCACTTAATATAGAAGATGGCACATAATAGAAGCCAAATACATGTTTGTTGAATGAATGGATGAGTGTAAAGGGCTGTGCTGCCTACTTACTGGTGCAGTAATGAATTAGCCCTGGCATTAAAGGGATTCTGAGGCTTCTTTTAGGCGAAGACTGAAGTTTCCTGAAGAAGAATGAATTCCACGTTCAGACTGCAGAGAACCCTGTCTGAGTTTCCAGCCTACTCACCTGCCCCACAGATTTTAGGCTCCAGACTATAACAGCCTCTCTTACCTGAGTTTCCAGCCTACCTGTCGGCTCTACCAATTTCAGACTTACCCATTCCCACATCGTCAGGAGCAGATCCTTAAAAGAAATTGCTTTCTCTCTATATAGCCCTGGGTCTGTTTCTCTGGAGAGCCCCGACTAATAGAGCCTTAACTACGAAACAGATGTGCTCTGGGTTCTCCGATGTGGATCTGAAGACAGTTGAGAAGGGAAGATGGGATCCCAGGGTGCCACCCTGTTATTTACTATCATGGAGGTCTCTGCTAGATGCACTGACCACAACCCTAAGGTGGTATTTGTGCCAAAGATTGGGGGGTGGGGGGAGAGTGTGAGCTCCTTTTTCTGACAGGAGTATTTTCAACAGCAGTAGTTCTCTTCTCAGAACTCACACAGATTCAGTCCCTGAATAGTGACTAAATGATCTTATATACCTTTCCTTGGAGTTGACACCCCTACACCCCTAATTGTCTTTGCCCCATAGAAGTGTCCTGTTTTCCTTTTCTCCTTCTCCTTCCTGTCCCATAATTTTATATTATGGGTTCACCAGTTTTTTGGTGGGTCTATCAATATTGAACATGGTTTCTACAAGAGGTGAATTCTGAGAAAGGGCTGACACTGACCTTCCATGCCCCTTGGCACCAGGTTATGGGAGAACAAGGCTGCTCTCAAGTTCCCCCAAGAATACCTCTGTTGGGATCCCAAATAGATACTGTCCCAGGGAGGAAAGGGCAGCTGAAGACTCTCCAGCTGGGACCCCCTATGCCCTGAGATCCAGAGGAAGGCTGAGAAAGAACCAGTCCATAGTCATGCAGGCAGCCCAAGACATTCCGAGCGACGAGACCCACCTATCTCCTTCCCCAGCGAGGAGTTGAGGATGGCTCCTGCAGACATGACCACAGCGCAGCTCTTAAGGCCTTGTGGGTGCAGCTGGCTCAGCGGTACAGCGGGGACCAGCTTCTGCCACCCCAGCGCGGAGAAGGGCGCCTCCGTGCCGTCCAGTGTCCGCACGTGCACGCGGCCCCGCAGCTGGCACAGCAGCTCCCCGCGGCTCAGCGCGGCCACCCGCCGCCCGCGGAAGCGCACGCCATGCTTGTTGGCACTCAGGTAGTCCTTCATTGCCTTCTGCAAGCGCGGGTTGAGCATTTTGGAGGAGACGTTTCCCTTCCAGAGCCGGTGGAGGAAGGCCCTCGACATGGGGGAGTACAGCCGGTCGCCGTCGCTGCCCTCTGCCAACACCGAGCCCCTTCCCTGCTTGCGGTGCCTCCTTTTCACTCGCCTTCTCTGGGCCTCTCCAGCCAGCAAAACCCCTTCCTGCAGGCCGTGGTCTCCGGGGGAATGGGACCCCAACGTGCCCTGCGTGTGTCTGTGCGTCCCTGGCTGACCTGCAGCAAAAAAATAGTCGTCGTCCTCCGGGTAGAAAGCACTTTGAGATTTTCTCCCCATCTGGGATGAAAAGATCTCTTCTTCATTTTCAAATCCATCGGGCACCTGCGCCCATTTCTGCAGGTCACCCCACTCCATGTGAAAGGGGCCGGATGGGGGTCCATCGAGGAGCCCTTTGTTTGTGTTCAGGCTCTCCAGCAGGGAGGGCTCCTGCATGGCGCCCATGATGGCTCTCTGCTTCCCCTGCATGGGCACCAGCCTCCTGGTCTCCAGGAAGGAGAAGGAGCTGGGCATGGGTTCTGCAGGGTTGCTGTTGGTGAAATAGATGAAAATCACCAGGAAAAGGAGCCCCCAAACAAATATCCCGCAAAGCATTCGTTGCCTCCATTGCTTTAAGTGTGGTTTCATGGTAGGCCTCTGGGGTCAAGCACCTTGTGTCCACAGCAGCGGCGGATGGAGTGAGCCTGAAAAACAGCCGGGCGCTACAGTTAGCCAAGGTGGGGCACCTGCTCAGCCGCTGCTGGGGAAGGGGGAGGGAGGGTTAGAAGTGGCATCAGAAACCAGGATCACCTGAGGGCTTTAGTTAAATCCAGGTGTTACCTCTCCTCCCACTCCTGACCTCTGCAAGTCAAAGGGTCTCGCCAGCCATTTCAGTCGAGTCTCAGAGAGGGAGATACAGTGGGTGTACATTTGGAAAACCTCTCCAGGTAACTCAGTGATATGTCTGCCTCCCCATCTTGACACTGCTTAATTGGGGCCATTCCGACAACTTCTCTCTGCAAGGGGGTTTATAGGATTCCAATTTGGTAAAGTGAAGCAAGAGAGTTCAGCAGCGCCTGCCCTCTAACTGGCTTATCAGACCACCAGAGGTGCAAAGCTCACATATTGTACAGCAGCACAGCTGTGCATTTCTAAGGGGTGACAACCTAGCTGATTCTTCATGGTCTCCCCTAGGCCTAGGAGGCTGTCTGGGAGAGGCCAGAAGTCCAACCATATAAGCAATGCTTCCATGACTGTCGCTGCAGAATGTTATGCCAGCAATTTCTGTGGACTTCAACAAAGCCCCAAATAATGCCCTCCGACTTCACCCTCAACATGAGTGTCTCCAATGCAAGAAGAGAGAAGTAAAAGAATATAACAGGGAGTGAGACACTGTCTTCCATCCATGAGTACTGCAACATGCACATGGGTAGCACAGTGCTTAGTATTGAGGAGAACAGCAAAACATTACTAAGAAATGCACCTAAGCTCCAGGAATGTAAGCAAAGCCCCAGAAAGGAAAATAGAAGGGATGTTTGTGGAATAATAACAGAACTTGCTGATTCTTGAAGTGGAGCACAGAGCCCAACATAGGCAAATATTGAATAAATATTGGTAGAAAAAATGGCGAGAATCTGTGTTAGTGAGTTGGGGTTGGGAGCTGTGTGCATTTGGTGTTAGAAGAGGCCAGGATCTTCAGGTCACAGGGAATGTGGAGGGTCTACTTGGATATCTGGTTGCATGAGTTACCTGGCTCCTGGCTCTCCAAGCAAGAGAGCCAGGGCTGATGGAGGGGGTTTCAGAGTACTTTGTAGCTGGGGAGGCAGGGGCAGGGAGGAGTAGACAGAGGCAACTTAGGTAAAAGGAGGGCATAAGTAGCAATCAGACACTCAGAAAGCCTGATGGGAGGAGCTCACAAGGGAATATCTGTGACTCATTCAGTTCTTCCTTGGTATAGCCTGTCCACTACTGCAACACAAAGGCATGTAATGCAATAGTTGGCATATTTACTCAGCTAAGAAATCTAAATAGTCAACTTGGGAAGCTGTGCACTGTCCTTGGTGAATAAATGATATGTCAATTAAAAGTGCGTCATTGGTTTTGTGGCCCCAGAGTCGATTAAAGAAGGTCGTCTTCCCATTTGAACTTCCCCCATGGAAAAGTGGAGGGCTTTGTGACCAGATCCTGGCAGGGCCAGCAGTTTCCTACCTCTTAAAGTTCCCCTCTAGGGAAAGCCAGCCACAAGGAATGCTGTCAGCCTGTCCTAAGCCTGTCAGGCAGTGAGGAAGCCTGCACCAGTCATGGGGAAAGGTCACGACCAGAGAGATGCCCAGCCCACCTCTGTGGTTGCAGCCCACCTCTGTGGTTGCAGCCATAAAGAAGTTGTCTTGGATGCCCAACCAGCTGAGCTGTCAGATGACTCCTGGCCCAGCCGATTTCTCACTGAACCTCAAGTGAGAAACCAGCTGACCCCCATCAACCTACAGAACCATGAGTGATGGTGACAGATTGCTGTTCTAAACCACTAAGGCTTGAGGTGATTTGTTATATGATCTCATGATCATTGGAACAAGCTCTAATAATAAACACCATATAAGAAGTGTGCCAAATGCTTCCGACAATGACAACAGCCTTGCGATGAGGGTCAACCCCCAGAGGGAGTCTATGGGACGCAATGTTCATTTCAACGCATAAAGCCATGCATTTTTAAAGGGTTTATTGTACCACATAGTCACATGAGAAACCAAACACAGATATCCACAGCATATTTTCCCCATGCCAGAAACACTGATGCCAAGGAATGAACTTAGAAGAAATAATACCAGCAGTTGACATGCTATATGCCAGAAATCGTGCTTAGCACTTTTCCTGGCTTATCTCTCTGCCTAATAAGGTAGGAAACAGTGCTGTATCCATTTTCTAAGATGAAGCCTAGAGAAGTTAACTTCCCAAAGTCACAGAGATAGCAAGCAGCAGGCACTGCAGACAAACCCATCTGCTTGACTCTAAGGCTCACACTTAACTCGAAGTTCTGATTCCATCTGGTCACAGCAACTGAGCTATATTTTCTAAATAAGGTTTCTTAAACTATCTGTGATAAAGGATCATTTCCCTCCCAAACTGTCAAGAGTCTGTCACGTCTGTATTTTCATTCCTGAATGTCTTGGCCACATACAATTGCTGCAAAAGTTCTCGAAAGTTTCTATGAAGTCCTCTACCTATCTCATCAGGAAATGATAACAGACAGTTTGCAGATGTGCATAGTCTGGGGACCACACTTTGAGTAGCATCTACTAAATGATCTTTCTGAACCTGTCCACTCAGGAGACAATGCTTCAATCTGTTGTGCCCAACCTGAACATTTAGAAGCGGTTTTCGGTATTTCAACATTTCTACTAGAAATCAGAAAATTACCCTTAATAACAGTTATTCTGCGTCCACCCCACTGACTACAGTGCTATACATTTCTAACCCTAGCCACTAAAATTAGCACTGTGCTTAGTACTACAGGAAACAAAACATTAACAAGAAATGCACCTAAGTTAAATGAGGCCCACAAGACTGCCCCCCACTTCAGACACCAGCCTTATGTGGGATCACCTAGGTCACCTTACTTCTGGCCATTTGGCTACCAATCTGGGAGGTTCCCACAACATCCTTTAGGCTTGATAATTTGCTAAGATGACTAACAAAACTCAGGAAAGCACTACACTCATGATTAAGTTTTCTGGAAAGGATACACGTCATTGGAGATCCAGTTAAACGCTGAGATCTCAAGCCCTCTCCCTGTGCTCTCCTAGGGGAGGTCGCCCTGTGGGGCACGGATTTGAGTAGGGTTTTACTGAGTGACTATATTACTGTTCTTGCAACTGAGTTCAATCTCTAGTCCCTCCCCTTTTCCATGTCAGGCTGGTCCCAAGTGGCCCCATCCTCTAATATCTTGGTGGGTCTTTCTGATGAGCAGCCCCTGTTCTGACGCTCTCTAGGAGCCTACCAAGTATGATCTAATTAGCAACACAGATTCTTTCACTCAGGAAATTTCAAGAACTTTATAAGCTCCTTGTCAGGAACCTCAAAGACCAGGCACATTATTACCCCCGCAACAAGGTAGTAGTAGCTAATTTAAAAGGTAGTCTGTCTCTGTCTGGAAATTCTTATTACCTGGTTTCCCTGCATTGAGTACCAGCTCTGGGGGGCCTACTCTGGCAGACTACTAAAGAATTGGAAACAGAGGTTTCTTTTTTCAGCATTTGCTTGAGAAACGATTTTTTTCAACACAATGTCAAAAGGTGAAGTTGTACACATTGAGTGGTAGAAGCTGTAACAGAAAAAAAAGCCTTGACTTGGGGAAGAACAAGAGCTCTCTGGCCTCAGGGCTCAGAGCTGAGACCAGTGCCTGCCATGGCAGGTGACCCTGAGCTGCCTCAGTTCAGTGGGGTCAGTAAGCTGCAGGAACTGGAGTTGCTAAATCCTGGAGCAGAATAGAGAGTCTCAGACATACAGACCTCATTATATGGAAATGCCTACTTCCCAACTGAAGTCATGTGAAACCTTTTCCCCCCATGGGGAGATGACAAACATGAAAGGGAAAGGAAAATAATGAGAGGGAGTCTGGGGACACAAAGAAAGTAAAGGAAAAGCCTAGTAGGATAGATAAGGCCTGCTGTGGAGCAGATTTGTTCTCTCTCCACCCAGTGTGCTGGCAAGTAAAAAGGGTGGGACTCATCAGCCCTTGAGCACTGTGAAAGGAACAAGGACCCCAATGCAGAGCAGGATGGTTTGTCATTAGGAAAGATTTGTGTGACTCCAAATGCACAGTGATAATAGAAAGGAGTGGGACCGCAGCCTCGACTCATGATGAGGCTTCAACTTTTAATAATCTAAAAGTCTTCGCCACAACCTTTGTCACTGCAAACCTTCTGTTGCCAGTTAAGGGAACACTTTCCAAAATGATTAAATCTAAAGGCAATGGCAAATCATCTGCTTGTAAAATGCTACAGAAATCATTACATGTATAGAGGATCCCAGACACCAGCATGTTTGTACCAATTCAGGTTAGAGAGAGTGGAGGGCATCACCCACGTTAGAGCTGCAGATTCTTTTTTTCTCTAAAATGACCATGCAGCCTCAGAGGAAGAAATGTCTGGCTAAGCAATAGCGAAAAAGCACATTTTTTTCCCTCTAGTATTTACATTATAATCATGTCGTTTAAACCATGTTGTGTCTGTAAGACTCACTGTTACAGTCCATCATTAGCTGGTGAGACAGAACAGTCAGGGGGAGACCAGAGGTCTAGCTGGCAGCCTGGCCCCAGGTGTCCGTGATGAAGGGCTCCCAAATCATACTTCACCGGCTCAGTCAGGGAAGGGTTAAGTAACAGGCTGTTGGATTCTTGCCAGTTCTCCTGTGGGAAGAGAACTAGTAAGATTATCAGTACAGTGTGGGCTTCTTTTCCATAGTGATTCTGACAAGGTTTAAATTCCAAGTGGATGTTCTGTCTATTTGAACTACTTTTCCCCAGTCTCATCTTTCTTCCACTTGTTGCCTTTCTAGCCAAGCCTCCAAAAGACTTAGATGGTAACCCTGAGGCAAAATAAAAAGTGACTGCTGCTAGAAATTATGTTGATTGTTCCATGCACTCAGGAATGCCTGTATCTTAGATACTAATTCTCAAATAAAGAAATGACTCTTTTCTTCATAGATATTCAAAATAGCACAAAAGAGTATTTAAATTCTCCTTCAGATCATTCAGAAAGAAATCACATTTTCCAAAAGTCACAATTTCTTACAAGTTGTCAGGTGACAGTATGAAATACAAGCCCTGCATCAGGGGGACATCCCACTGCAGCTCAGGGCAACACAGCCACCTTCTCATTTTGTTCCAGAGTATAGAGAACTGAATTCTGGGCTTTACCACTCAAATGATCTCCTTCTTAAGCCCAGAGATTGACAAGCCTGATCTCTGGTTGTCTCGAATGGAGAGTGTTTTCTTTTTTTTTTTGGTTAAAGATTTATTTATTTATACAAGCACTGGGTACAGTCAGAAGCGCGGGAGGGTGAGAGAATTCACCAGAGCCAGAGCAGGGAACAGAACAGGCAGAAGGACCGAGGTACACTGCTGAGGGGAGCAGTGGGCGGCAGGAAAGGTCTGCGCACCGTGTGGGACCCTCGCCTGGCGGCCGGGGATCGAACCGGTGCTGCAGAGGCTGTGGGCAGCTTCACAGCCCAGCACTCAACCGCTGCACCACCGGGGAGGCCCACGAATGGAAAGTGTTTTCTAACACACTTTGACATGGCTGCCGCCATGGCCATCTGGCCAGGTTTTCTGTGGGTATGAGAAACACCTGTGTCCTTTATTGGTGTAGAAGTTGTATAAGCTGATCTTACAGCTAAGTATTTTATTTTATATTTTAATTATTTATTTATGCATACAAGGACTGGGGTGTAGGCCAGAGGTGCAGGGGGTGAGAGGATTCACCAGAGACAGAATGGGGAGTAGTACAGACAGATCTACTGAAACACACTGCTGAGAGGAGCAGCGGGAAAGACAGGAGAGGTCTGCTGAGCCATGTGGGTTAGCTCCCTGGCTAGGGATTGAACTCATGCTGCAGTGGCTGGCTTGAAAGCACTGAGACTTTAACCCCTGCACCACCAGGGAGGCCCCACATCTAACTATTTTAATGGTGAAATAATGTAGAAGATCTAGTGTATAAGCTATAGTGAGACACTGATATATCTCAATAGTCTTGAAGAGTCATTTTCTTTCAAGATTCATATTTCTAAAATTAATTCTTATCACAAATCCAAGAAAATACTCAGTCTGCAGAAAAGATATGTTACCACCCCAACTGAAATTTTCTCTCACTGCAACCTCATCAGTTACTTTAACAAGTGACCCCTTTTCTTTTTGTATTTTCTAATAAAAGTACAGAAGGTTCCAGAATGATTAGTGGGTAACACTAAGGGTCCACTTCCTAGTTTATTCCCTTACACTCCAGAAGGGCAGAAAGTAAGAGATTAGCCAGGTGGAATAAGTTTGGTGGTAGGAGGGCACCTTCCTCTCTCAGGCATCCCTGAAGAATTGCCAGTTCACATCCCAGGAGGCAGCCCCACAGCCAGCTGTGAGTGGAGAACAAGCAGCTTCTTCTGGCTCAGGAGGAGGGGTCTTGGGACCAAGAGCCACTCTGCTCCAGAATGGATGCAGCAATCCCATGTGTGAGAAGGACCAGTGCTAAGGCTGCTAAGGCTGGCAGACTCAAAATACCCTGCTTAGCATAAGCTTTAGAAAACATGTGCCAGGACTTGAGGTTAATTTAAAATTTGGATGCTTGAGCAGTCTCAGAGGGGGAGAATGTGAACTACCTGCAGGTAGAACCACATCTTATTCAGTTTTGCATCCCCAGCAAGGTATATTGTTCTGTGGAAGGTTCTCAATTAATATTATTAAAATAAATGAAATTTATGACTAGCATGAACGAAATAAGTGAGATGAGCGGAACAGGGGCTCCTGACTGGTCCAGAGGGAGGGTGATACCTTTTTAGCTATACCTTCCCAGCCAGCAGGTGTCTCTAGCACCCAGCCAGCTATTGCACCGTTAGGCCAATCACACTAGTAGTCAGAGTAGGGGAGCAAAGTCACAGTAGCCACTACCTAGTGACTCCACCACTTCCTAGAGGCCTGCTGGGTGCCAGGTACTGTAGTGCACAACCTCATATGTGCAGTCTGATTTTAATTTTTCAATGTCAGTTTAACCTTTACCACAAATTCCTCAGTAAACATTTTTTTTTTCCAGTTGGCATACAAAGAAACTGAAGCCTCAGGAGGTCCCCTTTTTGTGCTTGTACCCAAAACTCATGTATTCTTTTTTTGCACTATATTATGCCAAGATAAGTCATATCATGCTGAAAATGGTTTTTCCTCCCATCTCTGCCACAAAACACTGTCCTGAATTTCATCAAACTTCCTAAATTGACAGAAACCAATGATCTCCTAACAGACTATTTTCCCAAATGTTCCTATGTTGTTCCTGGAGAAGCTGATATTGCCAGTTCACCTTCAGAGTCAACATGTTCTCCATGCTCAGCCATCACTGGAGGGTGCTCAGCCCTGGCACAGGAACCAAGTGGATGGGCCCCATCAGCATGAACTGCCCACTGACTACCAAATCCAGAGGGGTTACAGATGTTAAGGGCCATGAGCTCTAGGTAGGACGACAGTGGTTCTGACCAGGAAGGGTGAATGTACAACAGGGATTAAATTAATCCTGGGGAGTTTCAGAGAGGAGAGCAAAGGTAGATATTGAAAGACACACCCACATGGAAGAGAGTTAGTCCACCAAGCCAATGGGGCAGCTGAGCCAAGTGGTCCTGACATGAGGTCATGCAAGATGTATAAACTGGTGTCCAAGGGGGTGGGAGGGGAGGGATTGGGGCCAGAATGGGGGGGCTGCAATTGTATGGGGAATATAAAAATAAAATTTATTATTAAAAAAAAAAAAATAAACTGGTGTCCAAGACTGATGGGTTCCAGCTAGAGAAGGGTGGGCCACTCTTATTAAGTGATAATATTATCTTTCTGGGCAACTGACTTTAGCCATATAAGGTTTTTCCTCAAGTGGCAGGGCAGATGGGAGATAATTTAAAAGGCAAAGACTCCCATATGTGAATCACTCTGGGTAGCTTTTAGCTTTGAGAACTTTCTGCAATGAGGCAGCAGGTGCTGCTGGGACAGGGGGAGGTGGAAATGATTCCAGACGTGGATTATTGGTTGTGCAGGGACAACACAAGCTGCCTACTAGCTAGGGTCTGCTGGCTTCCTGAAACAGAATTCATCTGCTTTGGACACAGTGGCCTGTTTGTTTTATAATAATTAGCATTCAAATATTTACACTTTGTACCAATAATGTGCCAAGGTTCATGATTGAAGCTGTAAATGAGCTTTAGCATAGTGCTTAATAGTTATGAAAATGATAGGCTGCCTACCTATCATAGGGTTTGAAATTTTTACTCTGATTCTTCAAATGTAAGTGGGCTTTGGATCGCCGACAGGTCACTCTTACCAGGTGGCCTCTGTACCAGCAGATGCCACCTTTTCTTAGCAAAAGCATGCCAGTCCTATCCCAGGAGGGACCCAGAGCATCACTGTGGCTGGCAGTGCAGTGGTGAGTGATGGCAGAGAAGCACGGGCACAACTCAGGCGGCCAGTGAGGGTCATCATCTTTGATCTACACATTGCGTGGTGGGGAATGAGACAAGATGAGATGCATCTACCTATCAGGAGGAATAAAGGCAATGTAGATTTGGCCAGAAAGCTCTTTGGGCAGACACTTTTCAGATCCTTGCTAGCATACAATTTGGGCAAATCCTTTGAGCTTCAGTGTCTTTATCCAGTGTGAGTGACAACACTGCCCAGCTCATCACTGCTCCATGAGATGAATGCATGAAGCAGCGCACGTGGCATGCCTAGTGCAGTGTCTGGCCCGACTTAAAAGCTCAATAAATACCATTTTCAGTCCAGGTTTTAAAATTCTGCTAAAAGTAAAATACTGGTATAACAAGTGTGGATTTCACTACATGAGTATTGGTCCAATGTGTCTATGCTTGCCAATTTACTAGCAGGCATCCCTCTCTTTGAATGGCCCCAAACTGATGTGCCCTGTGGTACAGACAAACGCTAGCCCTGCCTTCAGCTAAGAAGCACTAAATTAACCCACCTGAAGAAAGACCGCGCCTCTGTGTTTGTCATAAGAAATAAACTCGTTATGAACTGAATGTCTAAGTATCTACTAACGGGTTCATTATGTTAATCAGCTTATTATAATTTATGCTGCTATAATTATAAAAAACTGACAAATATTTATTAAGTCTACTGAAAGGCTGAATATATATCACATGATACTTTGTCCTTGGGGAACTGACTTAGTTCCTGGAAATATTAAGATTTCAATTATTGAGTACAAAAGAATGAAAAAAAGTACACTAGAGATTCAAATTTTAAAATCTCTCTGCAGGCCCCACAAGGCCTCTCACAAGACCCCAGGGAAGAAAGGGTGCTTAGGAGAACCCCTTTTAAAAGACTTCAAGAAATCCCATGAGGCATTTGCTTCATCCATTAGAAAGAGTTTAATGTTGCTAGAGCCACATCTTTAAAAAAAAGGAAGCTTACATGCTTTCGCTTCATCTCCACAGATCTGCATGGGTGAATCTCAAGAGCAATGCTGAGGGAAAAACAGAAGCTGCAAAAGCAAACATACAAATCATACTACTGATGTGTAATTTTAAAACACCAATACAAACTTCTGCTAGGAGCGAGGGAGGAAAGATCTGGAGAAGTGGAAGGGAGGGTTCAGAAGTTGGCGATATTTCCTTTCCTTGCTGAAATAATACAGCAAAATATTAATATGTATTAAATCTGGTTATGCATATACTTACTTATATTATTATTTTCTCTATTTACATAGTTTAAAGTATAATTTTAAATATAACAAAAGATGTAAAAACAAGAAAAATCATGAATTGTGTTTATATTTACATCTCTGCTTCCTAATCTCTTTGGTTAATAACTCTTGCTAAATATTGGCACAAAGTATAAATCAAACATTCTACAATGTATTTCAGTGCTGGTTAAAACTTTCATGTGTCATTATGAGTTTATAAAAGAATAACTTAAAGTTCAATGATTTATGGAAGTGGAGAGGAGCACTAAGCTAGTAACACTGGAGCAGGAATTTTGGCCTGACTTTTACTATCCATGTGAATTTGGGTAAGTTTTTTTTACCTCTCTGAGTCTCATCTTCATTTTTCAAAAAATGACCATATAGGGTTGTTACAGGATAACATTTTAACTGAGAAAAATCAAAGTCTTAGTCTATTGTTACTACCAGAAATATTAAGTGTCTAAGATGATCAGCTATGCACTGAGCATCCCAAATTCATTTATCCCCAAATCTCTGGCAGGACGGGTTTTCTCTTGGTCCTCTGGCTGCCACATTCCGGGATGTCTTGAGTGTAGCACCTCTGGCCTCTATACCTGCCACACAGAAAAGGAGTCTCCAGGCTACTGAGACAGCAATCATGACCTGGATCCCTGAAGACCCAAACCAAGGAGGCACAAAGTCTAGATTTGGGTTCTGAAGACAAAAAGGGAGGACTGGCAATCCAATTCGTTCTCACTGTTAAGCCACACAGCTATGTATGATGTTATCAGTAATACACACAGTATTTTAATCACTGCCTAATAAGAGCCCAGCTCTTATTAAGGCAGTGTCCCTATTATCTGGGAACAGTGGTGAAGCCCAATTTCTGGATGAGAAACACAAACCACAGTGAGGTTACTTAAGAGTCCCAGCGTTAAGTGTTGGAACTAGGGCAGACCTGATGTAATGGCAGCACGCAAAATGAGGCCAGTGGTAATGTTTGTGCTCTTCCTTCCTCCCAGGCTTGTTGAAAATAGCCAAGAAAAAAATGCACTAGTAAGAGCATTTTAAATTTAGATGTCCGACACATTCATTCAGTTTTCATGATATAAGGAATTTTAAATAGATTTAATTATGATGTCAAAGTAGCACATTTTTTTTGCTTTATGAAATAAGTGTAAATAGAAAGATGTTTCCGGTCTACATAAAAAGTTGCCTTTGCAGATGTAGAAATACAAAAGAATATCGAATATAGATGAACATTTTTCTAGGTAAGTAACAGCAGGAGTTTGCTTTGTAAAGCCATTTAGTGGCTTTAGTAAAGATGCCTTAATACTCCTGAAGTTTAGTTCTAAAGATTAAACTTTAGAACCTTATTAAGTTTTAGAAAACATCACATTATTAAGCACCAAACAACAAACTTCTTAACAATATTCCACAGAAGTAACAGGACAAGCCACTGGCATCTTCCTGGGGTGGTAAAAGTAATAGAAGACTTGGGATGGGAAAAACTCAAGCGTTTTTATATTAAAATGGTGAATATAAGATCAACTTGAGAAAAATCAAAGTCTCTATTGTTATATTATAAAGGTGAAGATAAAGGTGAATGTAAGATCAACTTAAACATTTAATATAAAACAAACATGAGATGCAAAGAAAGTTCTTAGAGTAGAGTTTTAAACTCTGTCCTCCAATAGGCCAAAGCTGAAAGTTCTTTTCCATCCACAGAGCTCCCTCCCATGGAAAAATCTGAGCAGCTGAGTAACATTCTAGTATCAGGCCCCCAGAGACATAAGAACAACTTCGACACAGTTCAGATATTTTCTTGGTGCTTTTCTAGCCGACATTTTTCAAAGTCCATAAAAACTTGCCAGCTTATAAAATAACTTTGAGAATTATTTCACCCTTTTATCTTCTAAATGGCAGCAAAGCCCAGTCATGGCCAGTCACTGAGTCACATTTCCCATGTGAACAGCAACACAAAAAACCTATTTTTGCCTCTTTGTGCATGTACACATATGCATATAGTGCTAATCCCCCTTTACACACTCACCCATTGCTTTATTCATTCATAAAGTTCTGTAGATCTGTAGCACCCACTGTGTACTGAATTCTAGGCACACAATGTTGAGCAAATCACTTCTTTCCTCATTGAGCTTACAGTGATGTGAGAGAGAAATTAAGTACACAAACCTTGCAGGATAGTGCACAGTCTTAACTGATTTCCTTTACCACATTCCCTGTTACCTCATGGCCTTCTTCCACTCATAGAAATAAACATAGGATCTTCAGGCTGTAATTATACTTGTCATGGGAGAATCAGAAGACAGTAATGTCAACTTGACATTTAAGTTCAAAATCTGTATTTCAAGGGGTGGGGAAGGGGAGAACAAAAATTTGAAAGAGTTCTTTCCAAGCCAGTTTTCTCTTGCCCAGGGGGAGACAAAAGTGATCTTCAGGCTGATGGAAAGTAGATTTTATGGCATCATTTAGATTGGGGAGCTTGGGATGGTCACATGGAGGCAGTACAATTTAAGCCAAGAACAAGTGGATGATAAAGAGATAGGTACTTGGGAGCCAGGGTGCATTTTGAATAGAAGAACAAGTGTTGTGAAGATAAGGCAAGTAGAAATCTGTGCAATGTAATTTGGGTAAGCACACGGTATTAACAGATCCTCTTTACAAAGGTCAAACCACTTACTACCCAATTCACAAACACACTGTGATAGGGAAGTGCTGGCTTCTATGAGAGGCACCACTAAGAAATTGTGAGAAATCACCACTGCTTTTCAATATAATACTGGAAATCCTAGCCAGAGCAATAAGACAAGAGAAAGACATACAAGGAATCCAAACAGGAAAAGAAGTTAAACTATCACTATTTGCAGATGATATGATAATATACATAGAGAACCCCAAAAACTCTACAGAAAAACTAATTAAACTAATCAATCAGTTTAGTAAAGTGGCAGGATACAAAATCAACAAGCAAAAATCAGTAGCCTTCCTATACACAGACAATAAATCTGAAGAAGAAATAAAAAAACCCATCCCTTTTATTAGCAAAACAAAAAAAAAATCAAATGCTTGGGAATAAATCTAACAAAAGAGGTAAAGGACCTATACAAAGAAAACTATAAAACACTGTTAAAAGAAATAGAAGAAGACACAAAGAAATGGAAAGACATCCCCTGCTCATGGATTGGAAGAATAAACATTATCAAAATGTCCATCCTACCAAAAGCAATATATAGATTCAATGCTATTCCAATAAAAATTTCAATGTCATTTTTCAAAGAAATAGAACAATTATTGATGAAATTCATATGGAATCACCAAAAATCCAGAATAGCCAAAGCTCTTCTGGAAAAGAAAAAAAAAAAAGAAGGGAATGGAGGCATCACACTTCCAGACTTCAAACTATACTACAAAACCCTAATCATCAAAACTGCATGGTATTGGAACAAGAACAGACACGCAGACCAATGGAATCAAATAGAAAATCCAGAAATAAACCCACAGATTATGGTTAACTTATATTTGACAAAGGAGCAAAGAATATGCACTGGAGCAAAGAAAGTTTGTTCAATAAATGGGGTGCTGAGTCACTACATGCAAAAGAATGAAGCTTGACCACTACCTCAAACCATGCACAAAAACCAACTCAAAATGGACATAAGAACTGAAACCATAAAATGCATAGAAGAAAATACAGGTGAAACACTACATGACATGCACATCAAAGACATCTTTACAGACACATCACCCAAAGCAGTGATAGTGACGGCAAAGATAAACAGCTGGGACTACATCAAATTAAAGAGCTTCTGCACAGCAAAAGAGACAATAACAAAAGCAAAGAGAAACCCCACCGACTGGGAGAACATTTTTGCACACAATACTAATGATAAAGGCCTAATCACAAAAATCTGCAAGTAGCTGATGAGACTCAACAACAAAGAAAATAATCCAGTCAAAAAATGGGCAGAAGAGCTAAAAAGAAACTTCTCTGAAGAGGAAATGCAAATGGCCAACAGGCATATGAAAAAATGTTCAACATCACTTGTCATCAGGGAAATGCAAATCAAAACTACCATGAGATACCATCTCACACCAGTGAGAATGGCACATATTAAAAAAATTAGCAACAACAAATGTTGGTGAGGGTGTGGAAAAAAAGGAACTCTTCCGGCACTGTTGGTGGGAATGCAAACTGGTCCAACCACTATGGAGAGCTGTGTGGAGATTTCTTGAACTACTAAACATAGAGCTTCCATATGATCCAGCAATTCCACTCCTAGGTATTTACCCAAAGGACACTGAAACAGTAATTCCAAAGGACACCTGCACGCCTATGTTTATAGCAGCACTATTTACAATAGCTAAGCTATGGAAACAACCCAAATGCCCAAAAATAGATGACTGGATCAAGAAGAAGTGGTCCATATACACAATGGAATATTACTCAGCAATCAAAAAAGATAAACACATGCAGTTTGCAGCAACATGGATGGAGCTGGAAGGGATCATGCTCAGCGAAATAAGTCAGAAAGAAAAAGAAAAATACCGGATGGTCTCACTCATAGCAGGAATTTAGAAAACCTAAATAAGAGACCAGGAAAAAGACTAATCAATACAAATTAAAAATCAAAATCAACAAAAAACTATAAACCAGAGACACATTAGGGGCGAGGGGGAGGGAAGGGCAGGGAAAGGAAGGACTAGAGTCAAAATAAAGAGGGAGATGCAATTGTATGGGGAATATGACCAAAATGAAAATGCATACATTGTGCAAAGATGAAAAAAGATGTAAGAATTATATAAAATAAAATATTTAAATAAAAAAAATTGTGAGAAACACTAAATATTTTCTCTCTCAATGCAATGGGTTTCAACCCACCCATCAGGTCTCAGCAAAAACCTTCCCTCATGAAAGAGATTTAGTGAAAACTCAACCACAAACAATTGAGAAATGGGAACTTAGAACTATGACTTCTGGAAATTTCTTTTGTAAGATATAGAACTAGGAAGATGAGAGAAAAGTGAAACTAGTATCTCTACCTGCACCAGTTCTATCACACTAGAGAGGCACCGCTGTCAAGTGACAGCAACCCAGTCCTTCTCTGGAGTGGGGCTAGCTCAGCTCAACTCTTGAAATGTCAAGGACAGAAATTAAAGGAGTAATGAATGGGTGAGACTGCAGTCATGGCTAAATTGTAAGAATCTGAGTCTAAAGATGACATCAGAAAGGAGCACATCAAAGGACAGGAAAGTTTTTGTCTCAAAATTGTTTTCTCTGAGATGACACCATGAGCCACGAGTGTTCTGATGAGATCTGGTTCAGTGTCCACACTAAACAAGGCAGCCAGTTATCTCCCTATTCCCATCTGTTCCCTTTCCTTATTGTTACAATTTCTGTCCATTCTGCAAAAAACTTTCTTCCAATGTGTAAATAACTCATGGCACATAAATTACCTACCTACATTTGAAGAAAATACACACACACCCCCCACATGTATTAATAAGCATTTTATTACTTGTCTGGGCACTGTGCTAGATGATAGAGATTAAAAAGGGACAATTCAACACAGTCTTAGTTTTCATGAGTCTATAATTCAGTGAAAATAACTACTAAAGTTGTCTTTCTGGTACCTGTGTTAGTCAAAAATATTTCATTATAAAATGAAACTGAAGTTCACTTATCTTATTTCTTACTCTTATGTAAATATGTATAGTATTAAAGTTAGGATATGTGTATCTAATTTCCATGCTGTATAAATCAAAGTTTGGTAGCAGGAAAAAAAATCATTGATCCGGTATTTATTCACTCAACAAACATCTCTTACTACGCACATACTCAGACATAAAATTATTGGCAATCATATCATATATCATACAGGCTTAGGTAAGATACAGGCATCACAGTAGTACAACAGTACTGATCTCTATACTGCCTCTTCTGCCAGTGTACATTTGCTTATTTTATTTCTGCTCTTGGCAAGATTTAAATAAAGTTTTTTTTTTCCCTCGTACTCCACAAATGTTTGCAGTAGCTATATTACACTTAACACAGCATTAACTATAGTACAAATATACACTCCCCAGATTGCTTTTTAAAAATGGAAAATGTTTATGATCTCTATCACAGAAACACTGAATTCATCAGTCTAAAATTTATTTAAAATGTCATAAGTGTCTGATAAAAATCTGTATCTGGAATTCATTGCTGAGCAGTGTACAGTTATTACTCTGAACTCAAATGAAGACTATACCACACTATGTCCTGGCTCTTTCAGAATGTAAAGTTTAAGTGGAACCGGGTATGGTTACTGTGGGTTCACAAATGCATACTAGGGCCTCCCTGGGGGTGCAAGGGTTAAGACGCAACCTATGAAGCAATCCGCAGCCACTGCAGCATGAGTTTGATTCTCAGCCAGTCGGGGAGCAAGCCACCTGGCAAAGCAGACCTCTCCTGACTTGCCTGCTGCTCCCCTCAGCAGTGTATTTCAGTAGATCTGCCTGTTCTGTTCCCCACTCTGTCTCTGGTGAATCCTCTCACCCCCTACACCTCTGGCCTGTACCCCAGCTCTTATATGCATAAATAAATAAATCTTAAAAAAATGCATACTAAACAAAGCACTTCTGATTTGGTTGCCCTTCTCATCTGAATATAATTTTTTAGTCAATGTATGTGATCTTATTATGTCTTAATTTAAGACCCTGACACTAAATGGAAGCAGTTCATATAAGAATCTATATCGATAACGGCGGCAGGACAGGCAGTCAAGAAAAGCAACTCAACACTAGAGAAAACAAATAATTGAAATATTTTAAATTGGATTAATTTGGTGTATAAAATATATTTCTAGTTTTCCCAGCCATCAAATAAATGAATACAATAATAGAATCATGAGTTCATTGCTCACAATAAAATGTATTTTCTTTGGAAATGCAAAGGAACATGAAATCAGTGGTGGTATTTTTTCCTCTCCCTCCTGGAGATTATGGAGATTTAACACAGGCTGGGAAAGACCTTATAAGGACATCAACTTTCTCTTTTTACCAACAAGGAGTCCATCGTCTGGAAAATGAAGCCAGACAAAACTAGTTAGACAGAGCTAGTTAGAGACACAGAATGAGAACACTGGTTTTCTGGCTCAAATGCTGTCTTGTTCTCTGTCATTAAGTGATAGAAAGAGACAGAAATATTTAAAACCCATAGTCATGTATTCTATTCACAATACAGGTCTTTAATGATACAAAATAAATGGGATCATGGATTATATTTCTAGAGTATTTGAAAGTTCTGTAGCTGAACAGAATGCTGTAGGAATTGAGAATGAAGAATCTAAAGAATAAATTTATGATGACGTGTGAAGTCTATGAAATCATTCCAATGGAGTTAAAAACATTTGGTGGGTGTGGGGGGTACGTGGTCTCCTATGTCAGGCATCACGTTTTTGAGCTTGGCCCTAGAGCAGAAACATCACAAGGCGGCATCCTGGGCTTGAGAGTATCACCCAGTATGGATGCTGTGCACGTGAGCAAAATATACAGATCAAAACTGCGAAGTCTGGGTCTGCAGTGTTCTAACAGCAGGAGTGGGTGCTTCTCTGCCAGTTCTCTCAACTGTAAAAGAAGATGAACTGCTTTGAAAACCTCCCTGGATAATTGTGGGGATACAGACTGGGAATCAAGTGATGGGCGGCTAAGAAGAGCCACGATGGTTGGTGATGGTGATGATTATGTCCTTTCTCATCTGCAAAGGCAGTGTGGAAACGACATGACCATCTCTCTCAGTATGGGGTGTGCGGGGCTGCCTTAAAATCTCTCAGTGTGTATGTTTATTTTTTAATTTTTATTTTAAAGATTTATCTATTTATTTATACAAGCACTGGATACAGTCAGAAGCATGGGAGCATCAGAGAATTCACCAGAGCCAGAGCGGGGAACAGAACAGGCAGACCAACGAAACACACTGCTGAGGGGAGCATGGGCGCAGCAGGAGAGGTCTGCACACCATGTGGGACCCTCACCCAGTGACCGGGGATCGAACCAGCGCTGTAGAGACTGCGGGCAGCTTCGCAGTTCAGCACTCAACCGCTGCGCCACTGGGGAGGCCCTCAGTGTGTATGTTTAAAAGGAAACTTCCCAGTTCCTCCCCACATGGGCTGAACCAAAACTGGATGGGCAGAGCCCATTCGATGCATTCTGGAAGCTTCCTGTTGGAAGGACTGTGGCTGAAAGAGCGGAAGCCAGAGAGGTTAGAGAGAATGGGCTCTGCGTCCCATGCGCACCTCAAGTGGTGGTTTGGCAGGAATCCTCAAAGTACCCACAGATGCCTGTCTGACCACATTCGGATCACTCCTGTCACCTCCACCAAAACCAGCTTCAACCACAATCTTCTGATCTCTGGAGAGTGTGGTGAAGCCAGCACTCCCAGATGCCTCCGTTTTCTTGACACAAACACTGGAGCTGCCATGTTTTAAGAACCAACATAAAGTCCTTCTCTGATAGTCCCTGGTCAATTTTGGGGCTCCCACAGCACCTCATACATACCTATTTCTCCTTCAGGCAGAGGCTGGCACAGATTTCACTTTCAATTCTTGATGTAAAAATAAATGAATGAAAAAAAAAGTTACATTTCCAAAAATTTTACCATGACAGTGAACACTATTTCCCTTGCAAAATGTATTCACTTTTCCATTCTGTAGGGAAACCATCATGAGGATCTGAGTCACAAGCACCTACATTCAAATACTATTTCAACATCAGTTTCTTCACTTAAAGATGTATGGACACGGGTCAGTTATTAAACTGAGATCAGTTTCTTCAACTGCAAGAATGAGGTAATATCGCGCAGCTTAGCCAGCCTGTAAGAGGATTTTAATTGACCTCTATATGAAAGTCAATTAATGTACTGTCAGGCACAGATGCTGGAAGAATGTTCATTCCCTTTTCTCTTCTGCCTTTTTCATACTTGCTGATGGGTTCTGTAATGGTCTACAATAGTCACAGCTTGTAACAAATCTTCTGAAAGGAACTTCTACATTGAATTTCTTTTCTACCGAGTCCTGTGCTAATTCCTACTCAGTAATGAGCTAATCGGCTCAGGGGAGAAAGGGAAATGTGGAGGAAGGAGACCTAATTTTGAGCATTTGCCCATTTCCAGGTGCAAGTACTCCCATCACATCCGATATCAACCACCAATGTTACATCCCTGGACACAGAGCTGGGAAGGGATAAGCAGAAGCTTGCAGTACCGCCCACAGACCCACCAGCCCAAGAGACAGGATAGTAAAATTCAATAAAATAGTAAGGAAGTGATGAGTTTTAAGTATTTACCACCTTTGTTTCCAGCGAAGTTAATGACAGGCTCATCAAACTCTTGAATTTTACGAGCCAGCTCCAGCATGTCACTGTATCTCACCCCATCAGGAAAATGCTGACGATGCAAGCACATTAATTACAGTACATTAGGTTTTTTAACCCACCTAGAGGACTTTACTGATGCAGGGCCTTTTAAACCAATGCAGGAAGTACATGCTTAAATGTTGCACAAGGCTAAACTATAGCTACAAGCAGTGCACGTCTGTGTGGTACCTACATGGCATGTGTGTCAACTCTGCGGGCCCAGTTCCCAGTGCTGAGTACACTGCTGATGTTGGGTTCAGATGATGGGGTTTGGTGTGTGGGGTTTTTGGGTCCCTCTGAGAAAGAATTCAGCAGACATTCCATCGGCACATAGCAAGTTTACTGCCTGCATAGACATGGGCGGACAGTCTTGAAGGGCAAGGACTGCATTTTGCCAGGACAAAGGGTGTTTTTTTAAAATAATGTTCTTCGATGGAATTATTGTGGAAATTATCGCCTTGGGGTCAGACTGGGTTGGTTTTCCAAGACCAAGAAGCCTCTCTGCTCTCACCTCTGGCTGATAATCCTTTCTAACCCCAACTTAAAGATTCCCGGAACCTTTCGTAATTGGTTTAGGTAAGATTTATTTATTTAAAAGATTTTATTTTTATTTATTTTTGCATACAAAGAACTGGGGTATAGGCCAGAGATGCAGGGGTGAGAAGATTCACCAGAGACAGAGTGGGGAGCAGAAAAGGTGGAGCCACTGAAATACACTGCTGAAGGGAGCAGCAGTGCCATGTGGGTTAGCTGTGCCATGTGGGTTAGCTCTGCTGTGCCATGTGGGTTAGCTCCCTGGCCGGGGATCAAACTCATGCTTCAGTGGTTGGTGACAGCTTGATGGCGTTGAGACATTAACTAACCCCTGCACCACCAGGGAGGCCCTAGGTAAGTTTTATTAATCGTCCTTAACCCCACTCCTGCTGTTTGTCCTTGTGAGACCTTTGATCCTAATTTTTTCTCTTTTTTTTTCCCCTAAATTTTTCTACTCTAAGTTTCCATCTCTGGCACCCAGGCAACCTGAGTGGTGATGTTAAGCCGACTTACTGCAGCTCTTCTCTTCATCACGCCCCTACTACATACAGTTATTTACATGTCTTTGCTTGTATGCTAGTTGGAAGACACTATGTCATGATGTGACACTTGTCTATGTACATGTCTGGCATATGACACTCTTATTTTGCACATGAGGAAACTGAGGAACAGAGGAGGAAGGCAATGTGGAAATGACACGACCAAGGTGCCCCCCAGGGAAATAGCTCTGGGACTGAAAGCCATGTCAGTTTCATAAAACCACTTCAGTCTCAAAGCCCTTCAGGAACTATATTTCATCCGCTTATCCATTTGTACAGACACTGACTCATTTTAAAAGAGGTAATAAAATAGATTTGTGATTTATAAAATAATTTTTTGCAGCCTGCTCAATTCTGGAAGTGACATTTAATGACTGCAGCATGCATTTGCATAGAACTGTGTTTCGTACAAAAGAACCACCTGGAAAACCTGCTTAGGAGTAGAAGAAGTAGGAATGAACTTTGAGTGATGTTTCCTGTGGAGCAAAGTGTGGTACTATAGAAACAATAAGCATGACTTCATTTAAAGCCAGGACCTATACCATGTCCTTTCTTATTTCCTGCTAAAAATGATGATAGAGGGAATGTTCTTCCTTAATTATCAGAAAGCTGAAGATAAAGTGTTAGTAGGATGTGCATGTATCATGAGGTGAAATGAAAACAGCTGAGGTGGCTCTGCGATGCATTTCCACTGTTCTGGTGAGAACAAAATACATATGCATGTACCAGCAGCCAATACAAATTGTGCAATTTCAGTGATTTTGCATTGGTGATAAATGCTATTGTATTAGCATTTAAAACTGGCATCGCACCATATAAAAAGGAACAGTAAAATTCTTGCTAACAATCATATTTTTTCTTTAGCTAGAATAACATTAAAAATGCCATGACAAGTCAAGAGAGAGAAGAAAGATAAAGGGAACAGAATTTTTAGTACCATTAAGGTTATTTCTTCCCTGCTTTTGGAGCTAAGGGCCCACATTTTAATTCTGCATGGCCCTGATGTCACACAGTTACTAAGTGGCAGAGCTGAGATCTGAATCCAGGCTGATACCAAAGTTGCTTTGCTTTAACACCATCTTTTCAGCCTCCCATTAAGAGCAACAGGTTTTGTATAGTTTCAGAAAATTTTTATTATCCACAGTTATCAATTTGGACATGTGAAATTTATTTATTCTCTTTGCCTTTTCTTCCTAGTTTTTCTTTCTTACATCCTCTGATTCATTTAAGCTGTATTTTCTCCATTCACTGGCAAATGCTTACTCTGTGCCTAGAACTCTATTATCCTACAGTGTATTTTTTTTAAAATTACTCTGAGGAACAGTATTAATTCTTTTTTTTTAAAGATTTATTTATTTTTATACAAGAGCTGGGGTACAGGGCAGAGGCTCGGGAGGGTGACAGGATTCACCAGACAGAGCAGGGAGCAGAACAGGCAGACTGACTGAAATACACTGCTGAGGGGAGCAGCGGGCGAGACAGGAGAGGTCTGCTGCGCCATGTGGGAATCTCCCTGGCAGTCCAGGAATCGAACCTGCGCTGCAGGGGCTGTGGACAGCTTCACAGTGCTGCATTCAACCTGCTGTGCTACCAGGGAGGCCCTATCCTACAGTGTATTAGCAATGACTACAGTGTTAAAGACAAAGATGGCCAAGTCATTTCTAAGCACTTAAATAAAAACAAATAAATGATGAGTTTCATGTAGCTTCAAAGTCTTTCTGCTACTTTTCCCCAATACCTAATTACAGCTGTTGCCAGAGGCTGTAATTTATGGCCTGTGTGTGGGGACTAACGTGGGTACTTGGCTCCTAAGCAGGCCTCCTTTTCAAAGAGGGTTTGTTTGGGTGCACACCAAATGTGGAATAAAAGCAGCAGATTAGCATTCTGGGTGCATGAATCCCACAGAGAACTCAGGGAATTTCCATCCACAACTTTCTGCATCATCAAGACCCTCCAGATTGTATGTTACATCAGTCATAAATCATTTCAAATGATAAGATATTATTTCATAAGGTGATGCCATAGCAAACCAACAACCAATCCCCAAACCTTTAGGAGAGTAGCTAAAGCAAGGGTCAAAAATCTGCTAGGCATGCAGCCAATACATTCCCTTTGGTGACTGTGTTCTAGTAATAATAGCTGCAAACGCCACCAGCAAGCCCAGGACAGATGTGCTAATCAACACTTAAAAGTACTGTTTGTCAAAAAGACTCAGATCATTTACTCTCATCTCACAGAAGGAGGAACTGAAGGCTGAATGTAATTAACTTTTCCCTAATTTGTAAGAATAAAAAGTTGAATAAATCACAGACCTAAATTGTAAAAAATAAAACCATCTGAAAAGATAACACAGGAGAAAATCTAGATGACTTTGGGTATGGTGTTGACTTGTTAGATGTAGTACCAAAGGTATTCAGAGAAATAATTCATATGCTGGATTTCATTAAAATTAAAAACTGCTCTCTGAAAGACAATGTTAAGAGAATGATAATGTAAGCTGTAGACTGGGAGAAAACATTTGCAGGAGCTACATCAGATAAAGGATAGTTGTGGAAAATACACAAAGAAATCTTAAAATGCAGCAATAAAAAAAGAACAACTGATTTTAAAAATGGGCCAAGTACCTTAAAGACACCTCATCAAAAAAGATTTATTGATGGCAAATAAGCGAGTGAAACGATGTGCCACATAGAATGTCATCAGAGAAATGCCAATAAAGCAACGATGAAATATGACTACAACATACCTATTTGAATGGCCAAAATCTAGAACAGTGACAACATCAAAAGCTGGCGAGGAGGTGAATCTACAGGAACTCTCATTCATTGCTGGTTAGAAAGAAAAATGGTATAGACACTTGGGAAGAAAGTCTGGGGGTTATTCATAAAATGAAACAAACTTTTACCATATGATTTGACAATCATGCCCCTTGGTATTTACTCACAGGAGTTGAAAACTAATATTCACACAAAACTTGCACACTAGACCTTTATGGCAGCTTTAATCATAATTTTCAAAACTTGGAAGCAAACAAGATGTCCTTCAGAAGGCGAGCTGATAAATAAACTGGTACAACAAAATAATGGCATATTATTCAGGGCAATCAGTCATGAAGGAATCATAAATGCATACTATTAATGAAAGAATTTAATCAGAAAAAGTTACATACTGTACAATTCCAACTATGTGACCTTCTGGGGAAGCCAAAACTATGGAGACAGCAAATTATCAGTGGTTGTAGAGGCTAGGAGGGGAGGGGTGGATGAACCAGCAAAGCACAGAGAATTTGTAGGGTGTGAAACTATTCTGATGTTACTATAATGGTTGATGCATGTCAGTATACTTTGGTCCTAACTATAGGTTTACATAGCACCCGGGAATGAATCCTAAGGTAAACTCTGGGTCCCGGGTGGTAATGATGTGTTAGTGCAGGTCACTGATAGTAACAATGTACCACTGAGGGGGGCTGGTAATGGTGGAGGGTAGGGGGTATATATGGGAAATCTCTGTACCTTCTACTCTATTTTGTCAAAACCTAAAACTTCTCTAAAAGTCTTAAAAAAAAAGTAGAAAAAAGGAAGAAAAGATAAAGAGTAGTTCACACAAATCCCCCTAAAGTGGAGGCCCTAGAATTTGAGACAGTACTTACAATCAAGCCTGTCTCTCCTCTCAGCCAGCCTTCTTGAGTTTATGAAGAACTTTCACATACTGTGCAACTGAGTGCCATATGGATTTCAGATTAAATGTCCCATTCTGACCTCAGTTATACTGAAAACAAACTTTTCATAGGTCATAAATTTTTAGGACCCGCCATAATAAACTAACTATCTGTGTACAAATCCCAAAGCAAAGATAACAGTCCTGAAAATCATCAGTGGGGCTTCAACAGTGCTTTGGTGACAGTACTGACATGCTGACACCATGTGTCAGGGAAAGAGAGGGGAGACCAGACGAGAAG